ACTGGGAATGGGGCTGGGAGGGACTGGGGATACTGGGCAAACTGGGACAGACTGGGAATGGGGCTGGGGTGTGCTGGCACGGGAGAACGGCAACATGGAGGTACTGGGCAAACTGAATGGGGCTGGGGATACTGGGAATGGGGCTGGGAATGGGGCTGGTGTGTGCTGGCCCGGGAGAACGGCAACATGGAGGTACTGGGCAAACTGGGAGGGACTGGGAATGGGGCTGGGAATGGGGCTGGTGTGTGCTGGCCCGGGAGAACAGCAACATGGAGGTACTGGGCAAACTGGGGATACTGGGAGGGACTGGATATACTGGGAATGGGGCTGGGGATACTGGGAGGGACTGGGAATGGGGCTGGGGATACTGGGACAGACTGGGGATACTGGGAATGGGGCTGGGAATGGGGCTGGGAATGGGGGTGGTGTGTGCTGGAATTCCCATTGTTTTCCAGCTGGAATTCCTATTATTTTCCTGCTGCAATTCCCATTATTTTCCTGCTGCAATTCCCATTGTTTGCCTATCCAAATTCCCGTTTCCCCCCTATAACTCCTGCTGTTTTCCCTCTGTGATTTTTCTTTTCCCTGTGGAATTCCCCTTGCTATCCTGCTGGAATTTCTGTTTTCCCTCTGGAATTCCAATTTTGCAATTGCCATTTTCCTGTTGGAATTCCCTTTGTTTTCCCATCAGAATTCCCATTATTTCCCTGTTGCAATTCCCATTTCCCCTCCAGAACCCCTCTTGTTTTCCCCCCATAATCCCCATTTCCCATTGGAGTTCCCATGGTGTTCCTGCTGCAATTCCCATTGTTTTCCACCCACAATTCCCATTTTTCCTCATTTTTCCCATTCCCCCCAGATCTCCCAGGTCCCCGAGTGGCGCCTGCTGTTCCTGGAGAAGAATCCTGCTGCAATTCCCGTTTTTCCCCCCACAATCCCCATTTTCCCCCCCTAATTCCCATTTTTTCCCTCATAATTCCATTTTTTCCTCCACAATTCCCATTTTTTCCCAATTTTTCCCATTTTTTCCCAGATCTCCCAGGTTCCGAGAGGTGCCTGCTGTTCCTGGTGGAGAACATTCCCTCGTTTTCCCTGCAGAATCCCCATTGTTTCTCCCCAGAATTCCCATTTTTCCCCCACAATTCCCATTTTCCCCCCCACAATTCCCATTTTTTCCCATTTTTCCCCATTTTCCCCAGCTCTCCCAGGTCCCCGAGTGGTGCCTGCTGTTCCTGGTGAAGAATCCTGCTGCAATCCTGCAATCCCCATTTTTCCCTGCAGAATTCCCATTTTCCCTCCAGAATGCTCGTTTTCCCTGAAGAATCCCCATTTTTCCCCCCACAATTCCCATTTTTCCTGCAGAATTTTCATTTTTCCCCCCCGAGAATTCCCAAAATTCCCATTTTTCCTCATTTTTCCCATTCCCCCCAGCTCTCCCAGGTCCCTGAGTGGCACCTGCTGTTCCTGGTGCAGAACTTCCCCTCGTTTTCCCTGCAGAATTCCCATTTTTCCCCCCATAATTCCCATTTTTGCTGCAGAATTTTCATTTTTCCCCCCCGAGAATTCCCAAAATTCCCATTTTTCCTCATTTTTCCCATTTTTTCCCAGATTTACCAGGTCCCCGAGTGGCACCCAATGTTCCTGGTGCAGAACTTCCCCTCGTTTTCCCTGCAGAATCCCCACTTTTCCCCCCACAATCCCCATTTTTCCCCTCAGAATTCCCATTTTCGCTGCAGAATTTTGGCGCCTGCTGTTCCTATTCCCATTTTTTCCCAATTTTCCCATTCCCCCCCAGCTCTCCCAGGTCCCTGAGTGGCGCCTGCTGTTCCTGGTGAAGAATCCTGCTGCAATCCCCATTTTCTTCTGCAATTCCCATTGTTTTCCCCCCAGAATTCCCATTTTTCCCCCAAAAATTCCCATTTTCACTGCAGAATTCCCATTTCCCCCCCCCCAAATTCCCATTTCCCCATTTTTCCCAGCTCTCCCAGGTTCCCAAGTGCCTCTGCTGTTCCTGGAGAAGAATCCTGCTGCCATCCCCTTTTTTCCCCCCACAATCCCCATTTTCCCCTCATAATTCCCATTTTTCACCCAGAATTCCATTTTTTCCTCCACAATTCCCATTTTTTCCCAATTTTTCCCATTTTTTCCCAGATCTCCCAGGTTCCGAGAGGTGCCTGCTGTTCCTGGTGGAGAACATTCCCTCGATTTCCCTGCAGAATCCCCATTTTTCCCCCCACAATTCCTATTTTTCCCCCCAGAATTCCCATTTTCCCTCCAGAATTCCCATTTTCCCTCCAGAATTCCCATTTTCCCTCCAGAATTCCCATTTTCCCTCCAGAATTCCCATTTTCCCTCCAGAATTCCCATTTTCCCTCCAGAATTCCCATTTTCCCTCCAGAATTCCCATTTTCCCTCCAGAATTCCCATTTTCCCTCCAGAATTCCCATTTTCCCTCCAGAATTCCCATTTTCCCTCCAGAATTCCCATTTTCCCTCCAGAATTCCCATTTTCCCTCCAGAATTCCCATTTTCCCTGCAGAATTTTCATTTTTCCCCCCACAATTCCCATTTTTTCCCAATTTTTCCCATTTTTCCCCATTTTCCCCAGCTCTCCCAGGTCCCCGAGTGGTGCCTGCTGTTCCTGGTGAAGAATCCTGCTGCAATCCTGCAATCCCCATTTTTCCCTGCAGAATTCCCATTTTCCCTCCAGAATTCCCATTTTCACTGCAGAATTTTCATTTTTCCCCCCACAATTCCCATTTTTCCCCCCAGAATTCCCATTTTTCCCATTTTTCTCATTTTCCCCAGCTTTCCCAGGTCCCCGAGTGGTGCCTGCTGTTCCTGGTGAAGAATCCTGCTGCAATCCCCATTTTCTTCTGCAATTCCCATTGTTTTCCCCCCAGAATTCCCATTTTTCCCCCAAAAATTCCCATTTTCACTGCAGAATTCCCATTTCCCCCCCCCCCAAATTCCCATTTCTCCATTTTCCCCAGCTCTCCCAGGTCCCCGAGTGGCACCTGCTGTTCCTGGTGAAGAATCCTGCTGCAATCCTGCAATCCCCATTTTTCCCTGCAGAATTCCCATTTTCCCTCCAGAATTCCCATTTTCACTGCAGAATTTTCATTTTTCCCCCCACAATTCCCATTTTTCCCCCCAGAATTCCCATTTTTCCCATTTTTCTCATTTTCCCCAGCTCTCTCAGGTCCCTCAGTGGCACCTGCTGTTCCTGGAGAAGAATCCTGCTGCAATCCCCATTTTTCCCCCCACAATCCCCATTTTCCCCCCCATAATTCCCATTTTTTCCCTCATAATTCCATTTTTTCCTCCACAATTCCCATTTTTTCCCAATTTTTCCCATTTTTTCCCAGATCTCCCAGGTTCTGAGTGGTGCCTGGTGTTCCTGGTGAAGAACTTCCCCTCGTTTTTCTTGCAGAATCCCCATTTTTCCCCCCACGATTCCCAGTTTCGCTGCAGAATTTTCATTTTTCCCCTCCAGAATTCCCAAAATTCCCATTTTTTCCCAATATTCCCATTTTCCCCCCCAGCTCTCCCAGGTCCCTGAGTGGCACCTGCTGTTCCTGGTGAAGAATCCTGCTGCAATCCCCATTTTCCCCCCCACAATCCCCATTTTCGCCCCCAGAATCCCCATTTTTCCTCCAAAATTCCCATTTTTCCCCTCATTTGTCCCAATTTTCCCCATTTTCCCCCCAGATCTACCAGGTCCCCGAGTGGCGCCTGGTGTTCCTGGTGAAGAACTTCCCCTGGTTTTCCCCTCAGAATTCCCATTTTTCACCCCACAATTCCCATTGTTTTCCCCATAATTCCCATTTTCCCCCCATAATCCCATTTTTTCCCTCATTTGTCCCAATTTTTCCCATTTTTCCCAGATCTACCAGGTCCCCGAGTGGCGCCGCTGTTCCTGGTGCAGGACTTCCCCTCGTTTTCCCTGCAGAATCCCCATTTTCCCCCCCACGATTCCCAGTTTCGCTGCAGAATTTTCATTTTTCCCCTCCAGAATTCCCAAAATTCCCATTTTTTCCCAATTTTCCCATTTTCCCCAGCTCTCCCAGGTCCCTGAGTGGCACCTGCTGTTCCTGGTGAAGAATCCTGCTTCAATCCCCATTTTCCCCCCCAGAATCCCCATTTTCCCCCCCAGAATCCCCGTTTTTCCTCCAAAATTCCCATTTTTCCCCGCATTTGTCCCAATTTTCCCCATTTTCCCCCCCAGAATCCCCGTTTTTCCTCCAAAATTCCCATTTTTCCCCGCATTTGTCCCAATTTTCCCCATTTTCCCCCCCAGAATCCCCGTTTTTCCTCCAAAATTCCCATTTTTCCCCGCATTTGTCCCAATTTTCCCCATTTTCCCCCCCAGAATCCCCGTTTTTCCTCCAAAATTCCCATTTTTCCCCGCATTTGTCCCAATTTTCCCCATTTTCCCCCCCAGAATCCCCATTTTCCCCCCCAGAATCCCCATTTTCCCCCCCAGAATCCCCATTTTCCCCCCAGATCTACCAGGTCCCCGAGTGGCGCCTGGTGTTCCTGGTGAAGAACTTCCCGGTGGGGCAGCGGGTGCTGGTGGATTCCTCCTTCGGGCAGCCCGCGGCCGAGCCCCGCAAGGACGAGAGGGGCGAGAGGGAACTGCCGCACGTCCGGGAGCTGCTGCTGCGGGGGCTGGGCCGGGGCCAGCGCCGCCCCTTCCTGCTGGCACTGGGGTGGACTGGGATGGACTGGGATGGACTGGGAGCACTGGGCACTGCCGCACGTCCGGGAGCTGCTGCTGCGGGGGCTGGGCCGGGGCCAGCGCCGCCCCTTCCTGCTGGCACTGGGGTGGACTGGGATGGACTGGGATGGACTGGGAGCACTGGGCACTGCCGCACGTCCGGGAGCTGCTGCTGCTGGGGCTGGGCCGGGGCCAGCGCCGCCCCTTCCTGCTGGTACTGGGATGGACTGGGAGCACTGGGAACTGCCGCACGTCCGGGAGCTGCTGCTGCTGGGGCTGGGCCGGGGCCAGCGCCGCCCCTTCCTGCTGGGACTGGGAGCACTGGGATGGACTGGGATGGACTGGGATGGCACTGGGATGGACTGGGATGGCACTGGGAGCACTGGGATGGACTGGGATGGCACTGGGTGGATTTTCAGGTGTATTTTTGGGGTCCCCTGACCGTTTTTGGGGTCGCAGGTGCACGTGGAGCAGGAGCTGCTCCTGTACGAGGGGTTTGGGGTTCTGGGATGGGTTTTTGGGGTTCCAGGTGGATTTTTGGGGTTCCAAGTGTATTTTTGGGGTTGCAGGTGTATTTTTGGGGGTCCCCTGACCGTTTTTGGGGTCCCCTGACCGTTTTTGGGGTCGCAGGTGCACGTGGAGCAGGAGCTGCTCCTGTACAAGAGGTTTGGGGTTCTGGGATGGATTTTTGGGGTTCTGGGATGGATTTTTTGGAGTTCCAGGTGTATTTTTGGGTTCCATGTGTGTTTTTGGGGTTTTCCTGGTGGATTTTGGGGTTCCAGGTGTGTTTTTGGGGTTTTCCTGGTGGATTTTGGGGTTCCAGGTGGATTTTTGGGGTTTTCCTGGTGTAGTTTTGGGGTCCCCTGACCGTTTTTGGGGTCACAGGTGCACGTGGAGCAGGAGCTGCTCCCCAAAACTCACCAGGGACCCCAAACCCGCCCCTTCCATGACATCTACGGCTACTCGGGGGTGAGGCGCCCCAAAAACCACTCCAAAATCCATCAGGGACCCCAAAACCCATCAGGGATCCTGAGTCTGGGGGGTGGGACCCCAAAACCCACCAAGGACCCCAAACCTGCCCCTTCCACGACATCTACGGCTACTCGGGGGCGAGGCACCCCAAAAACCGCCCCAAAATCCATCAGGGACCCCAAAACCCACCAGGGACCCCAAATCTGGGGGGTGGGACCCTAAAAACCAGCAGGGACCCCAAAATCCATCAGGGACCCCAAAAACTCCCCGGGGGGGACCCCGGAACCCACCAGGGACCTCAAATCTGCCCCTTCCACAACATCTACGGCTACTTGGGGGTGAGGCGCCCCAAAAACCGCCCCAAAAACCAACCCAAAATCCATCAGGGACCCCAAAATCCATCCGGGATCCCCAATCTGGGGGGTGGGACCCTAAAAAACGTCAGGGACCCAAAACCCGCCCCTTCCACGACATCTACGGCTACTCAGGGGTGAGGTGCTCCAAAAACTGCCCGGGGGGACCCCAAAAACTGCCCGGGACCCCAAAATCCATCAGGGACCGCAAAATCCATCAGGGATCCCAAAATCTATCAAGGATCCCGAATCTGGGGGGTGGGACCCTAAAAACTACCAGGGACCCCAAATCTATGGGGTGGGACCCCCAAACCCGCCCCTTCCACGACATCTACAGCTACTCGGGTGTGAGGGACCCCAAAAACGGCCCCAAAATCCATCAGGGACCCCAAAATCCATCCGGGATCCCAAATCTATGGGGTGGGACCCCCAAACCCGCACTGAATGCTACTTAGGGAGTCCCTGTATGTCCCTGTCCCCATTCCCGGGGGTCCCTGGGTGTCTCTGTCCCCATTCCCGGGATTCCCAGGTGTCTCACCTGTCCCAGGTGTTCACCTGCGGCCCCTCCCCGCACTGGGTGCTGCCCTGAGAGTCTCGGGGTGCCCCATTCCCGGGGCTCCCTGGGTGTCCCTGTCCCCTTTCCTGGGTGTCCCTGTCCCCATTCCCGGGGGTCTCTGGGTATCCCAGGTGTCTCACCTGTCCCTCACCTGTCCCTCACCTGCCCAGGTGTTCACCTGCGGCCCCTCCCCGCACTGGGTGCTGCCCTGAGAGTCTCTGGGTTCCTCATTCCCGGGGGTCCCTGGGGGTCCCCAGGTGTGACCAGGTGTTTCTCACCTGTCCCAGGTGGCCCCTCCCCGCACTGGGTGCTGCTGATGGGCCAGGGGGCTCTGGGTGCTTCATTCCCAGGGGTCCCTGTCCCCATTCCTGTATGTCCCTGTCCCCATTCCCGGGGGTCTCTGGGTATCCCAGGTGTCTCACCTGTCCCTCACCTGTCCCAGGTGTTCACCCGCAGCCCCTCCCCGCACTGGGTGCTGCCCTGAGAGTCTCGGGGTTCCTCATTCCCGGGGGTCCCTGGGGGTCCCTGTCCCCATTCCTGGGTGTCCCCAGGTTTCCCCAGGTGTGACCAGGTGTGTCTCACCTGTCCCTCACCTGTCCCTCACCTGCCCAGGTGTTCACCTGCAGTCCCCTCCCCTCACTGGGTGCTGCCCTGAGAGTCTCTGGGTTCCTCATTCCTGGGGCTCCCTGGGGGTCCCTGTCCCCTTTCCTGGGGTCTCTGGGTGTCCCCAGGTGTCTCACCTGTCCCTCACCTGTGCAGGTGTTCATCTGTGGCCCCTCCCCGCACTGGGTGCTGCTGACGGGCCGGAGGGCGCTGGGTGCCCCATTCCCGGGGGTCCCTCTCCCCATTCCCAGGGGTCTCTGGGGGTCCCCAGGTGTGACCAGGTGTGCCTCACCTGTCGCAGGTGTTCATCTGTGGCCCCTCCCCGCACTGGGTGCTGCTGACGGGGGTCCCTGTATGTCCCTGTCACCATTTCCAGGAGTCTCTTGGTGTCCCTCTCCCCTTTCCCGGGGGTCTCTGGGGGTCCCCAGGTGTCTCACCTGTCCCTCACCTGTCCCAGGTGTTCATCTGCGGCCCCTCCCCGCACTGGGTGCTGCTGACGGGCCGGGGGGCTCTGGGTGCCCCATTCCCGGGGGTCCCCAGGTGTGACCAGGTGTGTCTCACCTGTGCAGGTGTTCATCTGCGGCCCCTCCCCGCACTGGGTGCTGCTGACGGGCCGGGGGGCGCTGCGGCTGCACCCCATGGGCATCGACGGCCCCGTGGAGTCCTTCGCACCTTTCCACAACGTCAACTGCCCCAAGGGCTTCCTGTACTTCAACCGCCAGGTGAGCGCACCTGGCACACCTGGGCAGGATCAGTGTCCTACCTGCGTACCTGTCCTGTGCCACACCTGAGCCATTTTGGGGTGATTTTGGGGTGTTTTGGGGTGTTTGGGCAGGGTGAGCTCAGGATCAGTGTCCTACCTGCGTACCTGTCCTACGACGCGCCCTGGCCCGTCAGGAAGATCCCCCTGCGCTGCACCGCCCACTACGTCGCCTACCACGTGGAGTCCAAGGTGGGCACAGCCACAACACACCTGGGCACACCTGGGCACACTTGGGCACACCTGGGCACACCCACAACACACCTAGGCGCACCTGGGCACACTTGGGCACACCTGGGCACGCCCACAACACACCTGGGCACACCTGGGTATGGTCAGATCACACCTGGGCACACCCACAACACACCTGGGTACACTTGGGCACTCCCACAACACACCTGGGCACACCTGAAACACACCTGGGTACTCCTGGGTGGACCTGCATCACACCTGGGCACACCTGGGTATGGTCAGAACGCACCTGGGCACTCCCACAACACACCTGGGCACACCTGGGTATGGTCTGTGCACACCCACAACAAGCCTGTGCACAGCTGGGCACACCTGGGCACACCCAGCACACACCTGGGCACACCTGGGCACACCTGGGCACACTTAGGCACACCTGGGCACGCCCACAACACACCTGGGCACACCTGGGCACACCTGGGCACACTTAGGCACACCTGGGCACGCCCACAACACACCTGGGCACACCTGGGCACACCTGGGCACACTTGGGCACACCTGGGCACGCCCACAACACACCTGGGTACAGCTGGGCACGCCCACAACACACCTGCGCACACCTGGGCACACTTGGGCATACCCACAGCACACCTGGGCACACCTGGGTATGGTCAGATCACACCTGGGCACACCCACAACACACCTGGGTACACTTGGGCACTCCCACAACACACCTGGGCACACCTGAAACACACCTGGGTACTCCTGGGTGGACCTGCATCACACCTGGGCACACCTGGGTATGGTCAGAACGCACCTGGGCACTCCCACAACACACCTGGGCACACCTGGGTATGGTCTGTGCACACCCACAACAAGCCTGTGCACAGCTGGGCACACCCAGCACACACCTGGGCACAGCTGGGCACACCCAGAACACACCTGGGCAAACCCAGAACGCACCTGGATACAGCCAGGCACGCCTGGGTATGGTCAGGACACACCTGGGCACACCCAGGACACGCCCACAGCACACCTGTGCACAGCTGGGCACACCCACAACACACCTGGGCACCCCTAGGTATGGTCAGGACACACCTGGGCTCACCTGGGCTCACCTAGGCACACCCAGAACACGCCTGCGCACACCTGGGTATGGTCAGATCACACCTGGGCACACCCACAACACACCTGGGCACACCCAGATACACCTGGGCACATCCAGGTCTCACCTGGGCTCAGCTGGCAGATCTAGAACACACCTGGGCACACCCAGACACACCTGGGCACACCTGGGAGCACCCAAAACATACCTGGGCACACCCAAAACACACCTGGGCACATCTGGGACATGCCCAGACACACCTGGGCACACCTGGACGCACCCAGAACTCACCTGGGCACACCCAGACACACCTGGGCACACCTGGGAGCACCCAAAACATACCTGGGCACACCCAAAACACACCTGGGCACATCTGGGACATGCCCAGACACACCTGGGCACACCTGGACGCACCCAGAACTCACCTGGGCACACCCAGACACACCTGGGCACACCTGGGAGCACCCAAAACATACCTGGGCACACCCAAAACACACCTGGGCACCCAAAACACACCTGGGCACAGCTGGGACACGCCCAGACACACCTGGGCACACCCAAAACACACCTGGGCACATCTGGGACATGCCCAGACACACCTGGGCACACCTGGGCACACTTGGGCACACCTGGGCACACCCACAACACACCTAGGCGCACCTGGGCACACTTGGGCACACCTGGGCACGCCCACAACACACCTGGGCACACCTGGGTATGGTCAGATCACACCTGGGCACACCCACAACACACCTGGGTACACTTGGGCACTCCCACAACACACCTGGGCACACCTGAAACACACCTGGGTACTCCTGGGTGGACCTGCATCACACCTGGGCACACCTGGGTATGGTCAGAACGCACCTGGGCACTCCCACAACACACCTGGGCCCACCTGGGTATGGTCTGTGCACACCCACAACAAGCCTGTGCACAGCTGGGCACACCCAGCACACACCTGGGCACAGCTGGGCACACCCAGAACACACCTGGGCAAACCCAGAACGCACCTGGATACAGCCAGGCACGCCTGGGTATGGTCAGGACACAGCTGGGCACACCCACAGCACACCCAGGACACACCCACAGCACACCTGTGCACAGCTGGGCACACTCACAACACACCTGGGCACCCCTAGGTATGGTCAGGACACACCTGGGCACACCTGGGCACACCCGGGCACACCCAGCACACACCTGGGCACAGCTGGGCACACCCACAACACACCTGGGCACCCCTAGGTATGGTCAGGACACACCTGGGCACACCCAGGACACGCCCACAGCACACCTGTGCACAGCTGGGCACACTCACAACACACCTGGGCACCCCTAGGTATGGTCAGGACACACCTGGGCTCACCTGGGCTCACCTAGGCACACCCAGAACACGCCTGCGCACACCTGGGTATGGTCAGATCACACCTGGGCACACCCACAACACACCTGGGCACACCCAGATACACCTGGGCACATCCAGGTCTCACCTGGGCTCAGCTGGCAGATCTAGAACACACCTGGGCACACCCAGACACACCTGGGCACACCTGGGAGCACCCAAAACATACCTGGGCACACCCAAAACACACCTGGGCACATCTGGGACATGCCCAGACACACCTGGGCACACCTGGACGCACCCAGAACTCACCTGGGCACACCCAGACACACCTGGCCACACCTGGGACACGCCCAGAATTCACCTGGGGGCAGGTCCTGCAGGATTGTAGGGGCCCTGTGGGGG